AAGTCTCCTGGCTCTCCACCCTGCTTCATTCTCTCCTCTTCTCCCTTCTCTTCTTTCCTTTTTCTCTGCTCAGCTCCACCCTCCTTCTGAGTAGGGCAGGGAACCTGGAACTTCCCCTTTTCCTAGGGACCACCCTGTTACGGAAAGACATCAGGGTAAGATAGAGTGCAGGTCATTCTGAGTGCCTTTCCCTAATCAAGGGAGAGGAGAGTCGCAGGACAGGAGCTCCTGTTTCTTTGTTTTGCCTGGATTTTTTTTCCCCCAAACTGACTACCTGGCTTTGCTTTTTCTAATACCGAAAGTGAAATGCTAAGATTTATTTAGGAATCTCAGAAACTCAGCAGAGTTCTCAGCAGCTGAATATTGTCAAAGGAGCTGAAAAGGGATAAGACGTGTTCATAGGTAGATCGTGGGGTACAGTGCATGGGGCTCTTGGGTCCCTCTGAGAAAGAATTCAGCAGATGGCCCCATTCACCAGCACACAGCAAGTTTGGGGAGGGGGGACAAAGAGAACTGCCAACATAGACACAAGTGGGCAGTCTTAGCGGACAGCTGCATTTTGCCAAAGCAAGGGGTGTTCATTTATAGTGTCTTTGGAAATTACCGCCTTCAGGGTAGGCTGGGTTAGTCTTATGACTGCTAATCCTCTCTGCACCCCACCTTTGGCTGGTGATCTTTTCTGACCCTTCCTCAGACTCTTGGAAATTTCCATAGCTGGATTTAGTTTGACTAGTCACCCTCACCCCCACCTCTGGTGTTTATCCTTGTGACACCTCCATCCAAAATTTTTCTACTCTGTTTCCATCAGTAGAGAGAGAAGCAACATCCAGTAATGGGGGCCAGGTAGGTTTGTCATTTTGAAGTGTGTCCCAATTCATCATTTTGAAGTGTAAATTTTGTAATTAAAATTTACAAAAATTTATATTATACAGAGCTGTCACCTATGTTAGCATCTGGCTGATTTGCACAAGTCTGTCATGGACCTCAGTGTTCACTCTTAAAACAAAAAGCTGCATTTCAGCTGTTACTTGAGGTCTTTCTCATTCACCCTCAGAATAATTCTCAACATAATGCAAGTGAAAACTTGCAAAATTCTGTTTTAAATGTGAGCTTGTCTTATCTCCTGGACCTTATCTTAGAAATTCTAAGAAAATATTTCCAGAAGTCCCTCCCTGGTGGTGGGATGGGTTAAACCCCAAATAGTGTGGCAGACCTCTCCTGACCGGCCCACTGCTCCCCAAGCAGGGTATTTCAGTAGATCTGCCTGTTCCGCTCCCCACTCTGTCTCTGGTGAGTCATCTCTCCCCACTCCACCTCCGCACCTCTGACCTATACCCCAGTTCTTGTATGCATAAATAAATAAATACTTTAAATAAATAAATCTTTAAAAGAATGAAAATAGTTCTGGAACGTCATGAAAGTGATAACCTTTACAATAGAAGATATTGGTGTCAGTCTTATGATACAATCTACGGGAGCACTGAGCAAGACCAGGAGGCAGTGGGCTGGGCTACACCTTATGTGAAGGGCTATTTATGAGGCTACCAGGGTCAGAGTGTTCTCAGTAGGACTATTCTCTGTTTAAGCTGAGCCTATACAGGCTCAGTACAATAACTAAATCCCATTTTCTCCCCCTCTATTCCTTGCCTAATAAAGTTGGTAATGTTTAAAGATGTGACCTTGGGCTGGTGTGCTTGGAGATTCATGTAGGAAGGTTTCTGGGCTTTTAGGAATCTGATCACATGTGTTTTTCCAGAGCAGTTGCAAAAATAAATGTTGCTTTCAAAAAAGCACAACCTAAGTGTTTTGGAACAAAGGTAATGTGTTGCCAGAAAAGTTATAAAATAAATATGATATGAAATAATTCAGGGATATCAGCCAAAGTACGAGAAGTAACTAAAAGAAAACTTACAGATTATAAGAACAAACGTGGGAGTTAAATAGCCATTTAACTGATTTGACTGACATTGTGTGTGTGTTAATGTGCATGTATTTTTTTTTTTCGACTCCAAGGAGGAGGCAGGTTGGCTCTAGTGCTAACCAGCACCTTGAGCAAGAACTCAGCCTTCCTGTCCTCCTTTGTGGATTTGGTGTAGCCAGTGGAGTCTGTTCACAAAATGAAGAAGTTAGTATATAAGCCCTGACTCTTCAAAATGCTTTAATTCTCTCAGTAGTACCAAGAATATCCCTTATTCATCAACATTTTATTGAGGCATTTGCAGCTTACATTAAGCACTATGAGAACAGATGAAAAGGTATGAGGACAGAAAATACAGAATTTTTTCAAACAGTGTTGTCGGGGCAAAGGACAGTGGCCAGCAGTCACGTTCTATGGGTTGTCACCCATGTGCACAACTGGAGGACTACTCAAGCTCAGGAAAAAATAGTGGGGTTTATTTAACACATGTGGGAAATAAAGAGTTTGAGGTCCCAAGTAACTGGCTATCTGGCCCTAGATAGTGTCCAGTGTCTGGAAGTCCCAAACAAAAGGCCACTGACTCAGGGTGGAGCCACGCTGGCAATGAGTCTGGAGCTCGTGGCAACCAACAGGTAGAGCTGGAGGTGCTCATTGGTGGGGCCACAAAGGTGATACCACAGCAGTCTTCAGGCAAACTTTGGAGGCTGAAATGGATAACACTGAATGCTGGAACAGACAGCAACAGGGGTGACCACCCTGGGAGTCCCTCCTGGATGGCCAGAAGCAGTTAACAGCTCTCAAAAGTGACACAAACATAGTGTTCTCTTGTTCCTGTGGAGGTCCGCTGCTAGATGGGTCTTTCTTTGGAGCGCAGGAAGAGTATTCCTCTTTCTCTGGAGGCCAGAAAGAGGCTCCTGCCCTGCTCATCTCCTGTTTCAGGGTCCACCACCCTACCTGCCTGAGTGGATCATTTTCAGTTATTCTAATCAACATTTTCCCATGCTAAGATCCAGGCACAAAATAAGGAAAACTTCTTGCCCCACATTTCAGGCAAGGAGGGTGTGTGTGTGTGTGGTGTGTGTGGTAAGGGTATGTGTGTGTGTGTGGTGTGTGTGTGGGGTGTGTGTGTGGTGAGGGTGTGTGTGTGTGGT